GCCGCGGCACCTCGGTCTTGGTTAACACCACACCGTTAGGTCTGAAAAAACCCCAACCCGTCCAACTCCACCCTTCCGGGCGGTTTGTGCTCCTGCCTTGTCGCCCCAGAAGTGCCGGGAGGTGGCGGCCGGTGTAGATAGGAGAACCAGGCCTCGGCTGAGCAGGCCGCGCCGCGCTTTGGGCGTGTTTGAGGCGGGGGTGGGGGGTGGGTGGTGGGCAGTTCCGAGGGGGAGCCCCGCTACTGCCCGTTGCGGGGAACCTTGGTGTGCAGTGAGGAGGAAAAACTGGAGGGGCTGCCAGCCGGTGCTGAAGGTGGATGGTATTTGGGTAAGGTACAGGTAGTGGGTGGGGTGGTGGGAAGGGGGCACTCACTGACATGTGAAGTGGCTACGAAATGGCTGCTAATTTATTTGACATTCAGAAAACTCTTTCTGACCGCCAAATTGCAAGGAGATTCTGGGACAGTCTCCCAGGAAAGGCAGAGGAGCCAAAACCCACAAATAAAACTTGATCGGACTCTGAAAAAATCTGAAAAAGTTTCCTGTACCCTGAGTAGCGGTCCTTCGTGTCTGGGGTTGGCTCATCTTTTCACACGTGTGACATACCAGCTGCTGTATTTCCTATTGTGCCGTTCTTAGTTAAATGGCCACTTAAAATCCCCTTCTTCCTCTTCCAGATGCATCCTGTCCTAAAGGCCTTTGTGTGTGGCTCCATCAGTGGCACTTGCTCCACACTCCTCTTCCAACCCCTTGACTTGCTGAAAACTCGCCTACAGACTCTGCAGCCTGCTGTGAATGGGTGAGAGAGTGGGGATGAGCGTGCATTGGGGGGTGTGGAGCCGCTCCACCATAGGCCTAGTTTGCTGGCTGGGGCTTGGAGTTCAGGGTTATTAATTTGGACACTGAGAGCCTTTCTGAAATAGGAGGTATGTTTTTACAGTATGGAGAAGGATTGATATTTTGCTCCAGAAGATGGAAATTGGCTGCTTGTGTGAACGCTGCTTTAATCACATGTAACCTCAGCATTTGTCTGTAATCATCTGACAGACTGGTGTTGGCTGGAGTGGCTGCCGTGCAGTTTCACGGGGTGGCCTCTGCCTGAAAAATCCTGTGTGGTTGTCACCTAATTTCTCTCTGTGTGCAGCTGATCCCGTTTGCTTGGTGTAGTCAACCGTGACTACAGCTGATACTAACAAAGAGAATGAGTGACAGAAAATGCTGATGGGAGAGATGTCTACCATAGGTTCCAAGTGGTGGGAAAGCAGAAGGTGATGGAGAAGCCCTGGAAAGAGGGACCAAGAACAGCAGGCAGAGTCGAGAAAGAGCACCTCAGAGGTGTTGGGGTAATTCACAGAGATATGTGTGAAAGGGGGTGGCTGTGGGGTACATCTGCCAGAGAGCAGAAGCAGGTCGTCTGTGCAGTTCCTGTCTTGTCTTCCTTTCAGCTCCGGTCGTGCTGGGATGGTAACGCTGCTCTTCAGGGTTGTGCGTACTGAGAGTCTTCTGGGGCTCTGGAAGGGTGTCTCTCCAGTGAGTGATCGTTTTAACCTTGGCTTTTAAAAATAAGTAGATAAATAAACCTGCTGTTTATTACTGACACTGGCTGCCTGGATTTAAATAGCCAGCTCTTGTACAATTATGCATGAAACCACATGATTTAGATTAAATCCTATTTTGAGGAGTTAATGTTGTGAATTCCACTGATTGGGTCATGGCAGTTCCTGTGGTTTTGCAGTCCTGAGCAGCTGGATGCTTGAGTACTTTTCCCAAATGTGGGGTGGCAACTGCACCAACTTCATTTTGATTTGGAATATCTTATTCCTGGAAAACTGCCATTGAGGAATACATTAAATCCTGGCACCATTTGAATCAATTGACTCAGTGCCGTAAATGATTTTTACCTTGTCTTCTTTCCTTAGCATGTTAGCTTTAGCACTTTTTGTTTTCTGCAATGCCTCCTGTCAGGTTTAACAGTCTCTGAAATGTTCTGTAGTACATTTTGCCTTATGTGTGCATTTTCTTTCTTCATCTGCTTCCGTTTCTTCCCAAGTCCTTTGCAAGATGTATTCCTGGGGTTGGGATTTACTTCAGCACTTTGTACATGATGAAGCAGAAGTTTCTAGTGGACCGTTCACCCACAGCCCTTGAGTCTGTCTTTCTGGGTGCCACCGCACGTGCAGTTTCTGGGATTTGCATGTTACCAGTGACCGTAGTGAAGACCCGGTATGAGGTGAGTATGACTTTCTGTTTAGTTCCCTGTTAATGATGTCAGATGCCTGCTGTCACTTGGGTGCAGCTAGGGAGGTAGTCCTGATTTCATCGTGGTTCACAGATTGTGCAGGAAATGCCACGCACTCTTACTTAGTCAAGAAGTGTAACATGAAACAAAATTCTCCCTGAGATTTTTGTTTCAGTTGTATATAGCATTTGTGCAGCATCTTTCCTGTTTTACCTTCCTGAAGAATTGCTTTAAAGGCTGAGGCAGGTGAAACTCACTTTTTGGCTTGGGCTGTCCTCTGTGCTGCCGTCTCGGGCGTCACGTGCGGGCGTCACGTGCATCACGTTAAGCACACCCACTGTTTGTTTGGACGCTGTGGCCTCGGGGTGTGTGTAGGATTCCTCAGCAAGCGCCTGGTGCATGAGTGACTCACCTTTGTCTGCCCTTGCAGAGTGGAAGGTTTGGCTATGGGAGTGTATATGGAGCTCTGAAGAACATCTATCAGACGGAAGGGGCTCGTGGCATGTTCAGCGGGCTCACTGCAACGCTGCTGCGGGACGCACCCTTCTCTGGCATCTACCTGATGTTCTACACGCAGACCAAAAAACTCACACCTCAGGGTAAGGCTCAACGTTGGAGGCTGTAATGGAGGGTGTTTCTCTTCTCTCATCTTGCCTTGCGGTTGACTGCCTGCATGCTCTGCTTGTTGCCCTCCACCTCAGTAGTTACACTCATCTCTTGTAGGGCTTTAGGTGGGACAATCACATTTTCCTGTGGAGAACGGTAGACCTATAGCTCAGGTCACTGTAGAAATGGAAATTGGCCCTAAATTGAATGATTGTCTTTATGAAGACTGATGCATAAGGTAGGTTAGTGAACACCTGACAGAGAGGATGTCTTCAGTGGTGCTTTTTGCTGCTGGTTGCCTTGTCCTGATGAATTTCCACTAAACTAGGGCTTCTCTGCTGTTAGAACTGGTTGGGGCGACACACAGTCTTTCCTTTTCTGAGTTCCTGTCAAACTCAGTTCCCCAGCAAGTGAGGCTTTTTAATAGTGCTGACTTATGGCTAGTAGCCACTTTTCCCCTTGAAAGGTTTCTCTACCCTGCATGGATTTTAACTTCTCTTAGCTGCTGATGTTGATTTAATCGTTCAGTAGCTTTTCACTTGTCAGGCAGCATGAGTATTCCTGGCCTGGTGTGTGTCTTGAGTGCATTCCCTTTGTTCTGTTGCAGACCAGCTGGATCCAGTTCTCATGCCCCTGTTGAATTTTGGCTGTGGAATCTTTGCGGGAATCTTGGCCTCGCTGGCAACGCAGCCTGCTGATGTCATCAAAACACACATGCAGCTGTCCCCCCAAAAGTACCACAGGACAAGTCAGGCCATTGCCTTCATCTACAAGGTGAGCTGGATCCCTTCTAATCTGCGCAATCACTTCTGATCTTGCCCAAAGCACAGCTGTGCTAAGGAAGTTGTTGCCTTTTAAAGGAGGTGAACAAGTGTGACTGCTTCATGTGCTTTTGGAGTCAGGCTAATCAGTGTCAGTGTTCTCAGAAGGTGAAGCAGGTCATGCTGTGGGAAACTGATGCTGAATCTCTTGTCGCTGGTTTAGGTGCAGACCTGTTCAGTAGTAACTGGAAAGTACTCTGATGGTCTCAAAGCAGTTGGAAGCTTTAGTTCTTTCCTTTTCCATGTAATTGGAGAGGCCATTGTCACTACTCAGATGTGCCTCTTGCTCCTCTTGAATGGCTTACGAGGCAGTGAACTTGCTCCCTGGTTATTCTAACCATTCCTCAGTCCTCTATTTTCACAAGATTTCAGAAGAGCAGAGTGCTCAGGGTACTGGAGCACAGAGGTGGGCATATTCCAGCAAGCATCTCTCCACACAGACCTGCCTCATGTTGTGGGCTGGTGAATGATTTCACTTCAGTTCTTTCTGTTAGGTGTATTGATTCTTACACTGGTAGCGATGGAAGGGGTTTAGCTTATGTCATGCTGACTTCATTCCAGCTTAGCTTAGTATGTCAGCTTGGAGGAGCTGCGCTTCCAGCTGCTGCCGCCTCTGGTTTATCGGTGTAGGCACATCTGTGATTACCGTACTGGGACAAAGGGTTTCTTTAGTAGAATGAAATGCCAGTATCAGATACAAACCAGCTACAAACCAATTCTTTGCCCTTTGGGGACTGAAAGAGGAAATAAATGCCCAGTTCTGTATCCCAGGAATGGATGGAGATGTACTCAAAGCCCACTTTTCCCTTCCTGCCCTCAGAAGGGCAGACCTTGGCAGGTTTGCTCTGTCACCATATTGACCTCTATTTCTAAGCAGAAATCTGTTTATTTGTGCATGGAGTTTTTGTGCGTAGTACATTTTTCTCATATCAGAATGTTTTTCTACTTCAAACCTCAGTGTTTACAGAATAACTGAGTGACGTCTGTAAATATGAACCTCTAAAACAAAGACAAGTAATTCTCCCTGAAGTCTCTTGAAACCATTAACGCCCTCACCTTCACTTTGTTGGGCTTGAGTGCGGCTTTCCCTGTCCGTTCTCCCTATCCTGGCATTCTCTTCTCCACGCACCGCTCCTCCCGCTTTCTTGCGTAGCCCTGCAATTGCACGGTGCTACAGGCTCTTCGTAAGCATTACATGCTGTTTTAAGCCTGGGCCTTTCAGAAGCCGATCTGGGTCTGAGCTGAAATATATCCTGTGCTGTTCTCCGTAATAAGTGGTTTAGAAATTAAAACACTAGAGGCAGCTTGTGATGGATTGCTGTTTATCTTCCGTTGCAGGACTTTGGGTTGCTTGGTTTTTTCCGAGGTGGTGTGCCCCGTGCCCTCAGGCGCACTCTGATGGCAGCAATGGCATGGACGGTGTATGAACAGATGATGGAAAAAATGGGCTTGAAATCTTGACTGACTTGCAAAGAAATGACCAGCTTCACTCCTTCTCCTGCTTGCTGTGATCAACCGGGACTAGGAAGTTCCTAGTCCCGCAGAGGAATAAGCCTTACTTAGTCAAGAGGAAGAAAGCCCTTCTGACACAGAGGATTAGGCCTTTTGGCAAGTAGAGGAAAGGAAGGATCGGATCTTTGCGTCATTTGATCAAGGCATTCCACGTGGACTGCACTTTCAGACTGCCACGGAAATGAGCAGGGTTTCCACAGCCAGGTAACTGCGCCGAGGAGCCCTCTGTGCTCACCACCTTTGTGCTGGGAGACATGGCTGAGCGAAAGCGTTTGAGGAGAAACAGTGATTGCAGAACCCACCGGCCTGTTCCTTGCCCGCCTGGCCAGTAAGGCCACAACGACCCCACCATCTGATGTAGGTCCTCCTTCCTCGTGTGCTTTGTTCTCACAGGGGAACGTTGCAGACCACGATGGGAGACGGCACGTGTCTCCTTATGCTTACATCACAGGAGCGGGGGGAAGAGGTGTGGAGTGCTGAAGATAGGAACACGGTCTCTGGCATCACTTTTGTACCGTGCATGATAGCAGAGAAGGTAATTGGAACCTCCTTGCTGTGTCATGTGTTATGTAATTGAGCATCTTAACACTTGAAATGTGCTTCTGCCTCTACAGCAGTATTTGCACAGGAATTAAGAAGCATAAGGCACTTTAGAGCTGATTGTTACCAAAGTTCTACTTGTTCTCTGAAAAACATTTTTCCTGCTGGTCTGACTGAATCAGGAACACTCAAGTATCTTTTTTTATCTAGTTGTACTAGAAACCTACTTGCTTCCTACTATTCATTTGTTATTCCATGATCAACACCCTCAGTGCAAGCTGGTCTTCAGATGTATCTTTCAGGGTCATAGCTTAAAATGGATAAATGTGTAATGGAAGCAGATTCAGATACTGACACTTCAGATTTCCCTTAAAATCTGCTCTGATTGCATGTGGAGTATCTTTTGGGTTTGGAAAGAAAAGGCTGTTTTCTGTAAGCTTTCTCCAAAGTTTGCGATCTATGAAATTCCGTTTGATTTTGGGCTCCACAGAGACCCTTCATAGTTTCCCGGCTGATCGTTTTCTCTTGGCAAGTAGTCCTAATTTCCGTATTCCTGAGTTTAGGCTTCAAGACAAATACCCTTTTTCATCCACTGTGCCTTCTTACTCATTCCTACTTCGTTACACAGACCTCATAGCATGTGCTGTCCAAATTGGGGTACAGCCTGCTCCCCTCTTCACTTGTGCCTCTCTGCTGGCTGGCTGGGCTTGCAGTTCGGTTGTCGTTGCCACGAAGCTGGGCATGGAAATGTGCATCCTATTCTGTAGCGTGCCTTGCAGAAAACAGAGTTTTGGCTTTTTTTTTCCTTAAATATCTAGGCATATTACAATCCACTTAAGAATCAGAGCAGATGTCTCTAATTGTGAAGACATGACACTAGCTGTGTGAGCCATCAGTGCTACCTACCTGTTGTTCATAAAATTTAATTTGCACAATCACTGCCTGCCCTGGCAACCTCCTGAGCACAAGAGTAGAGGGGATGTGGGTTGTGAAAAGTGTTCTTTGCCGAATTCCAAATCCAAGGAGGTTTGATGACTGACATGAAAGTGAAGTCTGAGTGTTTGGGGAGGGGCTGGAGCCTTCTTGGGAGTAGCTGCTGGTTTTTAGCCTCAGCCCATCTGTGAGGGAAGACTGGTGCTACACAGTGCAAGAGTCTCCGAGAACGATGGTGGCGGGTCCCATGTGCACGTTTCTAGGTGTCAGTAATAAAGCACTGCATCAAATCGTTCCGTGTTGTGACTCACGAGCTGTCACATTTCCTTCTGCTGCTTCTCACTGTCAGGCATGTGGGCACATAATTTGCCAAATCCTAGATACAAAGAACTGTTCCTTTCTTTTGCTGTCCCTCATTCCCTTAGTGACCTGAACTCGTGAGAGGTGGTAGCTGCACATCCTGCTCTTTGTTACCCTGAGCACTGCTGGCACAGAGAGCTGGAGAACCAAGTCTGGGACTGCTGGAGTCTGGTGGAGTAAGGTGGCAATTACATGAGTTACCTCATTTGTCTTTTATACCCCTGTGCATGGGATCAAACCAGCATTGTACTGGAAGCCTGAATTCACTTGGGGCTTTCTTAATCTGGTGTGCGAGTTGGATCTGTTGATCATCCTGGGCTGTGGCAGTCAAGGACTGTGTGTGGGATCACCTGCAAGGTGCTTCACGAATATTTTAGTTCCTGATTTAGCAATGGCAAAGCAGTGTGCAACTTGTGCAGACAGAAACTTAGGCTCTTAAAAATGAGGCAAGCCAGCAAAGAATGCCAGGTGATAAATCTGGAATTAAGTAATGTCCTCATCAGAAACATGAAATGCGGGAACACTTCAGTAGCTTTTATTCCCTATATTTCTGTCTGGTCAGGTAACAAAGGAAGAACTAGAGAATTCTTCTGGTGTGCTGATGTTTTAAAGTCTACTGATTTTCTTTTTTTTTTTTTAATCTGGATTCAGGCCTAAAGCAGTGTTAGCTTTTTCTTTGGGAAAGTTCTTCCATCCCCCTTACTTCGTGGAGAGTGAGGAGGCTCGCTGTTGCTGCACTAGAGTGGAAAAGTATGGTTGTGAATTAGCCTGGGCTCCTTTCAGTTTAAGGAACAGAGGAGCTAAACTGCACTGTGTTTCATCAACCCTTGGTGCTGCAATTTCAAAAACATCTCTGTGTGAGAGCTGGGGAGAGTGAGCTTTGTGGTGCAAGTTTGTTGTTTGCTTTTCTTTATTACTTCTTTTGTCAGGTCTCATACCTGGGGGAAGGGAAAGCCCGAAGTTCTGTTTCACTGTCTTCTGAAAGCTGTATCACATAGGCTGGCTCTGATCCTTGCCATCCTTCACCCTTTTCCCCTCTTCAAAAACATTGTGTTTCTGAAGTGTTTTATTGAAGTTACTTCTTGATAGCTATAGTAAGCCAAGAAAAACAAGTGTGCAGACTTAAAGTATAGATACATTGCCCTCGAGGTTGTATGCTTCTAATTAACAACAAATGGTCGCTGTACAACCTAAATGCAAAGTAAATCAAAGATCAGGACACAGGTGCTTAATCACCTACCTGCATCATGCCAGCAATTCAGCACTGACCATCAGATAATCATTTTCAAAGCAATCTTAGGTTGGATTCCAGAGAAGGTGGTGTAATCCCTTCTGTATGTGGGAGGTTCACAGTGGGATCCCTCTCGGAATGACCTCTGTTGCTGGCAATACGCTGTGAATGTGCGTTGTCTCTGCTTGGCCCTGCAGCTGTGGTGGAAGAGCACAACTGGTTAGTATGTTGAGGCAGTCAGTATTTAAGTGAGTTGTAAGGACACAAGAGAAGTAGCCAAGTATTTATGTTTTCTAAACTTCACATTTCCGTTCTTCCTGTGCTGTTGATTATTTGGGGTTTTTTTTCTTGCACTGTTTAAACAGAACCGGAGCTTTGGAACATTGCATAGGTTTGAGTATTGTGAGTGTTGATGTGTCTGTATGAAATATTTATGTGAGAAGGTGTATTATATGTTTCTATTAAAAACTGAACCCCGTAATCTCTTCAGTCTTTCTTTAAATCAAACCCCAAACCAATCAAACCCACAAGGGACGGAATAGAGGCTTAAGAAAGCAAAAGAAGTATCCCAAGAGACCAGGACTGTGGGATGAGTTCAGAGCCTGTACAAGGCAATATTCTCTTTTTCTATGGGGTATTATTTACACAGGTTCTGCTGGTACAACCTAAATCAGCTTTACTTAAATGGCAAACCAAATCGCAGTGGAGCATCCTGTCTTTTTCACAGCTTCCTCTGCCTGCGTGCTGCGTGTAAAGACTGATGGAGAATGCATCTCCATACTACCTGGTGAAATACCCACCTTTAGGACAGTTTTGAGCACTCTGGGGAGAGACCGATTTTAATCTGCCAGCCAGGTCTTTGCTACCCAGGCAGTCTGATCTCCGCAAGGGACCTGAAATTGTGCCTGGGACATAATCCTCTGCTGCAAAGCATAGTGCAAGGTGACACTGGATTGCTGGGATCTCCTCTTGCTGTCACAGTATGCTTCTGGGATTCAGTAGCAGGCAGGTCACGCTAAGCAGAACGTGGATGTTGATAGCGAGATGTACACCTCCAGATGTGAAGATCCCAAGCCTCTTTCCTTGTAGGTGTTGCCTAGATGATACATTCGTATATGGAGCAGTTTTCATGGAGAGTTATCTGTGTGTAACAGACTGATGGCTGATGCCAAGTCAGGCTGGCGGTAGTGCCCGTTCTTGCACGCAGGGCTCCCCAGAGCTCCCCTGCTGCCTTGGAGAACCACCTCTGGCGCAGAGGGTGTTCCTGCTCACTCTGCTGACAGCTGTCCCAGCTGCGAGAAGAGACAGCAGACAAGCTCCCTAACCCTCTTGGGTAGTGCAGGGTGGGAAAGATAGAAAAAGAACAGTTTAAAGGCATTGTCCATGTAATAAAACAGTGAATTAAGGCTCTCCCTTTCACCTAAAAAATAGGCAAACGCTTTGCCTTTTTAATTTTTACTTTTCATGTATTTTTTGCCATGCATAATCACTGACACAAGAACTGAGCAGAAAGTGCTCCTCATCTCACACCCACACATATATATGTGTACTTCACAAACTCAGTGTGGTTGGAGCTCTTGAATATGCTTGCGCCTTCTGGCATTGCTTCTGTTTTCAAAGTACTGAGCTGATCTTCCACATTGCACTGTTTCTTAACTTCCAATTTTATCACTATAAAATGCTTAGGGAGAATTTATCACAGAATCACAGACCATGTCCTCAAGCCTACACGTTCCTTGAACACCTCCAGGGATGGTGGCTCCAGTTCTTCCCTGGGCAGCCTGTTCCAATGCCTGACCACTCTTTCAGTAAAGAAGTTTTTCCTTTTCTCATTTAACCCCCCGCTGATGCAACTTGAGGCCATTTCCTCTTGTCCTGTCACCAG